AGAGACTGAACAGCCATTTGCACGAAATGGTATAGGGTTTCCTGCCTGAGCAGGGGGTTGGACTAGATAACCTTCAAGGTCCCTTCCAACTTTATTATTATTATTATTATTATTATTATTATTATTATTATTATTATTATTATTATATCTATATTAAACTCCTTAATGGTTTGTACTGTATCTAATGGTTTCTGCTATGGAATATCTCCATTATCAAGCTGATCATATTTTTAAATAAAAATGAGAAACTCATGCCAATAAACCACTGATAGGCAATCATAAAAGATTCTACAATAATATATATTTATTTTCTGAGAATAAGAAGCAAAAAATTATAGAAAGTAAAAAAAGCATTTACTGGGAAAGCACAAGAAGAAGCAAAATTTTCATGGTGGCTGAACAGCTTTCTTATCTAAGAAACAAAAGGGCCAAATAGCGATTAACAAATGAAGCTGCAGCTTTGGAATTTTTACAGAACAATATATTCCTCAATTCTGAGCCCAATCTATTTTAACAATATAATTGCTTGTACAACTTGAGTAAACAATGGATTCATTGTGTTCACGAGCCCCAACAAGACAATGAAACAATGTTTTCTCAAAATTAACTATCTCATATTCTGGAAAAATAAAAAATTTGCAATGGTAGCCTCTAAGTAATAGTTCAGAATGATTAGACAAGTTCTCACTGAAACCTCAAACCTAGCTTTGAACTCTTATCACATCAAACTATTATATATAATGGAGTGTGTCAAAATGTCTTGATATGCCAAAACCATAAAATGCCTTCGGACCTAGCTTGCCCCATTGAAAATAACTGTATCATGCCATAGATTAATAACTCAATACTGTAATGTCTAATAATCCATGTCTGTAAATAAAATAGAGCCACCAATACCTTAGTTCTAAATAATGATATCCATAATGATTTAGGTTTATCTGCTGTTCAAACACATATGAAAAAATGAAATCTACTTCATTTCTACTTCAAACAAACAAACCACATTACGGCAGAGCATTATTTGTAAGTGAAGCACATGATTTTTCTATTGAAAATGATACATTATAAAACTGAGCCAAAACTTTCTCGAAATGATTTTGATGGGTGGATTGTAGAAATTCATTTTATTACGCAATCTTGAAAATTGGAAAATTAAGAAGAGAATTTAAAGAATTTAAGAATTTAAAAATGAAATTCCCTGTGGAATTTGTTTAGAAGCCAGAATATATTTAATTTATTATATAATAAATAGTGTGTATAAATATGTTATAAATTATTTAAATTTTGAAAACCATATGCCACTGATAGTCTTTTTATTTTAGTAGTGTCAATACCAAAGATATAACTTTTAATATATCAAATAATAAGAAAATAACCATTTTCATTTAACTGCAGCATTTAATAATAGAAAGACCATAAAAAACACAGGCACAAGAAAATTGATGTTAATCCATCCATTTATAATGTTTTAAAATGCATAGGAAAGAAGAGTCAAATCCTAAAAGATATTGTCAAATAGCAGGGTCCACCAACACTGCTGAAGAAATGACTTTTGTCTGTTCTTTAAGTCATTTTTCAGTTTACACAGAATAAACCCTCGATAAACATTCAGCCTAAACCTGTTTTTTAAACATTATAATTTTATTTTCCTTCAAAACCTCACTCTAAAGCTGCAGAACTGAATAGTTGTAGAATCAGGCATATTATGCACCAAAGTCCATGAATATGAAGAGTGATGCTTTCAATCACAAACTGTCTTTTAAAGACACTTATCTACATTAAAGACAAATGTACCTTAATTTTTTTTTTTTACAAAGCACTTAAATACTGTCATATGTTGTGTAGTATATACACTTGCCCCTTTACCAGGACGTTTCCTCATATATGCATATATGCTGCATATTTCAATATTGTTTACTTAAAATCAGGGCTTTTTGTGTCATAGAATGCCCAGAACGGAGTTCCGGCACCTTTTTTGGATGGAGGGGGTGGGCAAGGCGGGTTATATAACGTGTGTGAGTTCCAGCACTTTTTTTTTTTTTAACAAAAAAAGCACTGCTTAAAATCCTGTATGTTTTGTAGCATTATAGTAACTTTTACTAGCTATGCACACAAAAGCTTGAATCATAGCTACACTTATAGATCATAACACCAAGGTCTTAGATCTGTGTCTTTCAGAAAGAATGCAGCTATCAAGAACACTTCACACTTCAACCAAAAATGCGTTTAGCACTGTTTGATTTCAATAGCACTGAATAAAAATAGATGAGAATGGAAAGAACATCCTCTGCATGTACATGTTGAAAACCACATAGTCCTTAATAAAGTGGTAAGATGCCAATGCCATTCAAAAGCACTAAAGCTGGAATATTTATTATTTTAAAAATTAAAATATAAGTATTACTATTACATTCAGAAAAATATTAAACTGCATACTATATATGTTTAAATTGCCTTTGTTACAAAATGAATGCATGTTCCTAAGAAAAAAAATGCTTGTCTTAATATCTTAAATGAATATACACATGTTATGATGTCCTAATATAATTGGAGCTAGACTTTTGGCCTTATGACCATGTACTTTATAGTTTGTACTACCATTTTGTTTAATCTTACTGAAAAAAGCAATGTAAATATACATTTGATTGACCGCAATTCTGCCATTCAGGTTTTATATATTTACTATTGAAAAGAGCTGTTTTCTATATACAATACTCCCAAATCCAGAATAGACCCTCCTAAAAGTTTCCTTGATTTTGGAACAGTGACTATCAATATACTTAGTCTTCTATGTTTCCTACTTAACTAAAAATACAAATTAAAAATATAATTTTTCTAAACTTAATATACATAAACACATTTAATTTATAACTTGTTAAAACTTAGTTTTTTATAATATGAAAATCTACAGGTAAACTTTATATGTTACTTAAAACTACCATAAAAGGATAAAAGAAGATATCTATGGAGGTTTTCAGTCATCCAGGTCATAGTTATCCAAAAGATGCTTTTTCACAAGGCAACTGGACTTTCTTGTTCAGCTCTGAAGAGCTGAAGAAGCTTCTTGGATGAGAAGTGAAACGTCTTCAAAGAAAAACAAGAAAGTCCAGTTGCCTTGTGAAAAAGCATCTTTGAGATAGAAGAAGAATTACTTCTCTAATAAAATAGTTTGTAAGGAAGATATGGAAGTTATTTACTCACTACATAGATACACTTAACCACATTGTTGAAAATTATATTAAAATATTAATTAGTTTAGGGAAAATTAGTTTTTGTAATTATACAAATAGTCGTGAAAATAATTTAGTTCCCATTTATTTATTTTCGGTACCTCTAAACAGCCCCAATACAGTTCTTTTGACAGTGTAGAACAATTAAATATATGAATATATGAAAACAGAAAAATATTACTGTAACCTCTATTTCTTAAAACTAATAACTAAAAAGACTCTTGATCATATTGATAAATATATAAATCATACATGCAATAAGCACATGATTATTACAGGGAAAGTTATTCTGGATGGAAGTATGACAATAAATGTAAAATAAGGATATTTTGTAAAGTGTTGCCTTTTTCCTAGACTCCTTAAAGATACACTGTTCATTGTGTCTATTTAGTGTAATTTAGCAGCTATAAATCATACTGGGTTTATTCTTAAATAAGTAAATAACCATTACTAAATGTTTTGAAAAATAATTATAAATATAAAGCATTTAACAGCATTTTACTCTTTAGGATTAAGCTCTATTAAATAAAATGGGTCTGTAACCTTTCTCAAACTTTTCTTCCCTTTCACTTATATATCTGATAACAAAATATTTTGCATTAATATACATGAATCAAACGAGTAATAAACCATTTTATAACAGTAATCTTAAACAACAATCCTCATGAATATACTCTGTTAGTATTAAAAACTCTGTTAGTATTTGTCTGTTAGTATGACAAAATATTCCATATTTTTAACTTTATAATAAATGTAGCAAAATTACTTTAGAATCCAATCTGAATTGGTTACTGGGACCAAAGGTTCTTCCAAGCTTTTGGACTCGTGTTGGAGCCTATCTTCAGGGAACTTCTAAATCTCCAGGATATGTGCACTGGACTGTTCTATGCGTAGTATTTATGTGTGCCCTTGTGATACAAAGATCGTTTGGAGGTAAGAGAAATTTCTAATGAAATTTACCAGATTCCCTGCATGGATTGCCCCTGTGAGTATGTAGGACAGACAGGGAGGAAGGTAACCACCATCACAAGCATATGAATGAGCGAATAGACGAGAAGGCCTGCACTCATTGGCAGCCTTACATTGCAATGAACAAGGACATGCATTCAATTTCACAGCTACTAAGATTGTTGGCTAAGCAGGAACAAAAATAGCCAACGAAATGATTGAAGCCTGGGAAACAAGTCTCTTGTCTGTCAAGAGAAGTACTGATTTACCACCAGTTTACCAGGTACTTAGAAGCTGAGACCCCAGCAGTACAAGGAAACAACAATCAATGATTTAATAGCCGGCCATCAACAGCCCAATCAACAACTAAAAGCCATATAAACAACCAGGGTACCATATAAATACTCTGCATAGAACAGCCCACTGCACACATCCTGGAGATTGACAAGTTCCCTGAAGATGAGCTCCAACATGAGTCCAAAAGTCCCGGTGACCAACTCAGATTGGATCCGGCAACATTATCCAAGGACATGTATATTTGCCTTCATTCGCAAAATTATTTTACTACAAGATACAAAATTATATTTTCAATACGCAGGTTTTATATCTGGGCATATAACTGAGCACATGAATAAAAAAGAATTGTGATTGCCTTCAACATATACAAATTATTGTAAATGCTGATGAGTCATAACCTTTTGTGCTCATGAGATAAGGGAAGGGATAAGTGGAAGAGAAAAATTAGATAACTGGCAATGGTATTAAGTCTACAATCTTTGAAAAAGCATCATAAGTAAAAAAATAAAAACATCATAAAAATACCTAAGCTTCCCAAAGTTATATCCCATGGTGAACTAATAGGCTGCTCATCTCCTTTGGCTCCTCCTTCCTTATCAGTGCCTTGTATTCCAACTCCTGCAACAGTGCTCACTAACTCCAACCGCAGGTCAATCTAGAATCAATTGTTGATTTATTTTAATAAAAGAGAATATGTGTAACTCAGGGTTGATCTGTGGAATTCCTGGCACTCCCTGAGCTTGGTTGTTACTAATTACAAACAAACAAGCTCATAGAGCACCAAGGATTCACATTAATTTATTTTTACAGTAAACGTTTAGAATGGCACATCTTTTTATACTGTTAACCATTTTTAGCAAAATATATTTAATACTGTAATATTTATTTTGAATATACTACAATAGTGCAAACAGGGAGAGCTTGTTTGTGTCCTGCTTTATAGTTAGCTACCCGAATAGCACATATCTCTAATTTTGAAATATTTTGTATCTTTGGTGAAGACTTTATATCCGTCTGCTAGGGATAACAATAGTTTTCTTCAATTACAACACTGGTTTTGTTCATTAATTGAAATAAAATTTATCCTGCTAATTCACTTCTAAAGGACTAATCCACAATATAAATTAATGACAAAAAAGTTTATGTAAAAAAAAA